GCTTGTTTTCAAGCTGTCTCGCCATGAATAATCAGGATGCCTTGATAGAGGAAACATAATGTTATCAACCTGTATGCCTACCCCTCCCCAGCCCACTGTCAATAACAACATGGCAAATGTCACAAGGGCCATAATTTGACAGTCCTGAAACATGACGTGTCATCCTCACCTGACAACACCAGCACTACTGTGCCATTTAAGATTGGAAAACAACAAGGGAATTATGTTTACATCTCGCTAGCTTAATGAAAAATCAAGATAGGAATTTAATTGATTGACAATACAGTCTTGCATCTGTCACTACTGGGCAGAGGGTCTGGGAAACCAGAAGCCAGCTAACGACTATAAGCCTTTGATTTAAATATAATATCTATATATGAAATAGTCATTTAACTATAGGCAATTATGTGTAGACATACCAGTCACTGTCTTTGTTTCTTGCAGGAATTGCTTGTTCAGAGCTCTAGGCGACCAGTTAGAGGGTCACTCCCGGGGTCACCTCCGGCTTCGGCAGGAGACCGTTCAGTATATGATGTCCCATCGACAAGACTTTGAACCGTTTGTTGAGGACGACGTGCCCTTCGCACAGCACTGTAAGAAAATGACCCCGGGGAGACACTGAGCGGATCAACAAAGGGAATAAAATATGATCAGAGAGGGACTTTTACTAATTCCTCATACATAATGGATTATTCTGTCATGTTGCTGTACATGGGAGGTCCATTGATTTCAATGGGAGACAGTTTTTACCCGCAATTATGCAGGGACCCCTGGTGGCCATCAGTTCTGTTGTTATTGTGTTTTTCCCCCTCTGATCTTGTGAATTACTGGATAATTAAATTTTTTTAGGCCTCCAAAAATTTGAAACAAAGAATGATCACTCTTTGGTTAAACTGATCACAATGGGACACAAGCAACTGCTAATGAAGAAGTGCACATGGACACTGCTTCGTTTTAAGGTGTCACAATCCAACAAGGTGGAGAACTACTGCTAGTTGCGCCTATCTTGACTTCATTCATTCAGAACAGCAATTTCAAATGTTTGTATAGAAACGTATATATATCATTTTAGTATAATTAATTTAGAAATTTAAAGGAAACAAATGTGATGACACCGTAGGAAGCTCAAGAGTAAATGTTGTGTGATCACAGCTTAAGATCATCTTGTAATTGCTTGTGTTTCTGTCCACCCAGTAACCAACCTGTCTCAGCCTGGTACGTTTGCTGGAAATGACGCTATTGTGGCTTTTGCTCGCAGTCAACAGGTGAAGGTGGTCATCCATCAGCTCAACACACCACTGTGGGAGGTAGGGACAGAGGCACAGGCAAAGGATCCCTTAATCTAATGTGCTATTATTAAGTGGAATCTTAACACGCTTTTGGCACAACACACAGTTTATATGTTCCGTTCTCATTGCAGATAAATGGTGCAGAGAAGCAGGCGTGCAGAGAGCTACACATTGCCTACCGCTATGGAGATCATTATGACAGTGTGAGGCGGACTGGAGACAACTCTGAGAGTCCTGCTCAGCTCCGCATAGAGGTATATAGTATAGAGTGGGCTTTCTGTGGAACAGCAGACAGGAACAGTCATCCCTCTCATCTTACAGTAGCTGAAATCATTTAGTAAATTCAGGGGCCTACCTTTAGATGTCCATAATGCATCATGTCATGTTCAACATTTATTATTCACTAATATTAATTCATTTATATATGAATTATAATTTACTGTTGTGTTTCTCGCTACTGCCGCTCCCAGAATCTGCAGAATTCACGAGGCCAGCAGCGTGAGTTCGGCGACGGTCAGAGGGACAGACAGAAAAACCCTTCGCCCACATCCTCAGAGGAGGACAACGTGATCCTGAGCTCCATCAAGAATCGAGGAATCCAGGGTCAGAAGTTACTCCTGACTCATTAGCTGCTAGAAGAATTAGACTGTCAGGGCGAAAGAGAACAACTATGAATCAGCTTTATTCCAGACTTCATATCTGTCAGACAGTCAAGCCTTGTCTATTTAGCAAAAAAAATCCATTGATCCAATAAACATGGCAGCCTGTGATTAAGTAGACTGCATGTGTGTTATTACTGGCAATGATCACATCACACTGAGTGGTGTAACATGCGTTTGTGTGTGTGTGTTTTCTGCCTCAGGTGACGAGGAGAACCTGCTCCAGCTGAGTGCAGCAACCATCAATGCTGAATGGCTTGTTGGCTCCATGCTGGGCCAGTCTTGCCAGGGCCAGTGTGCCTCAGGAACCTGCTCAGCCTGCAGAGCTGCGGCCACAGACTGCAGTGAGCAAAAACAGCCAGCAGAGGGCAGCAATGTACAAAAACCAAAGGTAGACTCGCTTATTCACATGAGCGATTTCATAAACCCACCAGTCTTCATACTGTCGCATGAAGACAGACTCTTTCTTGACAATGTAAGGAAACAAATATTTGAGGTCAAACATCGTTTCCCTCATTCTCAGGTATCTAACAAGCAGAGGAAAGAGCAGCAGCGGCAAGAGAAGAAGAAGCGTCAGGAGGAGAGGCATCGACAGAAGTTTCTCCAGAGTAAAGGAAGCCAGGACCAGAACCAGAACCTGCCAGAGGCTGTTACTTTAGTGCCAGCTCTCAACACCCTCAGTATATAGACTGGAGCATGGCCAAAAATAACTTACTGCTACTTTAGCTATCGGTGGCTGACGCTGTCCACAAAGTTTTGCACATAGTCAGATTTGATTCAGTCACAGTGGATGACTTTTCCTAAAGAGAACCCTATAGTTTCTTTGCAAACAGTATAACGGTGCCTGCAAACTTGAGTGTGTGAGATGTGTGAAAGTTGTAAGAGACGAGAGTGAAAGAGCATGAATTTCAGTGTTTCTGCTGGGTTTCGGTTTAGTTCAATGAATCTCTGGTTGGTGTTGGTGTATGTAGAATCTCTTCAGATCTGGTCTACCTGCCACGCTACCTAGCCCCTTTCTATACTGGACATCTGGCTTTTCATGACAACCATGCAGATCATCTTCATGCAGCTGGGCTTTCTTGATTTGCCACAGATTGACATTTTGAGTTAACGTCAAGTCAGATGTTCAGATTCTCTTTGTTCGATCTGACCAAAGAAGGAAATAAAAGGAAGGCAGGCAGATGAATGATTGTTATGCTCACTGTGTAAGGAATGTGGCAATAAATAATAATAATGGATAATTTTCTGTTTTTTTTGTGTACCAGATAATATATTACATATTATCCATGTTTTTGTGACTTATGTTTTTCAAGTTATTCATATTTTCCTTTTTTAAAACTAATATCTGTAACTAAATACAACAACTTTAACATTAACAGACACATTTATCAAGAGGCGGAGGTTTTACAACATACAAAACAAACATGGCTGCCGCTTGACATTAAAGGTCCAGTTTGTAATATTTAGGCTGGAATATAATACTCATAGGTATGCTTTCATTTGTGTATAATCACCTGAAAATAAAAATTGCTGTGTTTCCATTACCATTCAAATTTATTAACAGAGTGAGCAGGTCCCCTTCTACGGAGTCGGCCATGTTGGACCACCATGTTTCTACAGGAGCCAAGAACAGACAAACCAAACGCTGGCTGCAGATAGGGCCTTTTGTGATTTTTGCGAGTTTTGTGGCCAGTGTAGTTTCTTTAACATTCTTGGAAGGCGAGTGGTATTCAGTTGGTTGCAATCTGCAATTTCAGCGCTAGATACGACTAAATCCTACACACTGGTCCTTTAAGTTTATTGGGTCAGCGTGTCTGAAAAGCTGCTACCTTGCCAGTGAGCTAATGATTCAACTTTGTGGTCATACAGCGACAGGCTGCAGTGTGAGGTGCCGTTGTATTGGACTGTATGATGCTGTGCCAGGGTTAGGGATGTTATTTTTTTCTTGGATACAGCCCAAGCCCTTTACTGACTGGTATTGTGTTACAGGGTACATATTTAATGTTTACCTAGTCATTATTATCAGTTAATATATAATCAAGTGTTTGGTTGTTATTCTAGTTAGTTAGACCACCTTAGCGGTCAAACCAAAGTAGATGAATGATAAAAAGCCTCACCATCAGGAATACTACTATTGCGTTGAATTGGACTCAACAACAATACAATGTTTAATACTAGTGTTTCTCTAACAGATTATTGGGCCTTCAGTTCTTGGCTTGTTGATAATTTGACAAATGAGGTTGCAGTTTTCTCCACATGGGAATAAAGGCGTGATTTCTGACAAACTAGAGCCTTAGTTGAATGTGTTGTAGGGCCTCTGCCGGTACAAATTAGCACTTTCAGAGGTGTAGAGGCACAAGTCCACTCCATGATACTGTCCGTTGACACGGACAACTGCAGTCACACAGGCTTAGTAGTCTTGTTAAAACACTGTTGGTATTGGAACATCTCTAGTTAAAAGAGGTGATGATTAGTGAGTCAGCAGTTTGGTTTCATGCCAAGAAAGAGCACTGCAGATGCAATGATGATGGAGGAATAATAATAATAAACATAATACACATAAGGTCCACAAAGACATTGTGTCTAGGAGTGACGGATGGGTTCAAGATGGAGGTGAGATTACATCGAGGATCAGCTCTGAGCCCTTTGTTTGGAATGGTGATGGACAGGTTGACGGAGATCAGGCAGGAGTCTCTGTGGACTATGATGTCCGTGAATGACCTTGTGATATGTAGTGAGTGTAGGGAGCAGGTGGAGGAGAACATGGACAGGTGGAGGTATCCACTGGGGAGAAGAGGAATGAAACTCATAGGAGCAAAACAGATTACATTGTTGCAAATGAGAGGGACAGGTTTAGGAATACGCATATTAGAGGGTGTGGTGAGGGAGGACAGAGGGGGACGCAGGGGACAGTCAGAGATGAAAACAGGATGCGCTATGGTGAACCCTAAGGAGAACAGCCAAAAGATGAGCAGAACTTGACCATACACTGAAGCCAGGTTTAGAATAGTAATACCTGATATGGAAAAAGTCCGCTCCACACACTACAAAATATAAGAAATGTTAATTTTATTGAAACAAGGTAAAAAATTACATGGATTGGAAGTCAAGGCGGGACTCAGAGATAACTTTGTCTTTGACAGGCTTGACAAACTATGTACACTAAACACACTACTGTGTTGGTAGGTAGCCTCAAAGACTGGAACCTATATGCTGGTATACATCACATTTTAAAGCCAGATTATGTCACTTTTGCTGAATAATATCAATTGAAATGGCATAATATTAAATGCTAATGCTAGTTTAACAGTAGCACAATAACAATCTTAAAGCCGAACCCACTCAGTAATGTCAGATACACAAAAACATCCGTCTAAAGTCTGCTAGCATTAACAACCATAAGCTGCTAGTCATACCAGACCAAGTTAGGCTGTAGCTGCAAAGCCTGTGAGTGTACTGAATGAAGCAAAGATGTCTTATTGCTTATGAATTCAACTCTATCTGTAAGAAGATGAATGTGTTCCATCTTATTGCAAACTGTACATAGTCTCGCTTTAAATATCTATACAGTCCAGAAGCTGCATTATATTACCATATTCCACCACTGGTTTTACATTAGAATAGGTGTGAAGTCTGGTAAAAATGGGTGCTGTCACTGAGGTTTCCTGAAAATTTATTCTGAATATCAAACTTATTTGATGATACAGTTTCACATTGATCTCCTCCGCACAGGTAATTGTCCCCCCTCAGGTTGCTCCTTAGTCCAGTCAGACAAAATGAAATCTGTCTGATTGAGGGATCATTAGTTTGTAAATCAGTGCTACGAGTGTGAAAGCTGCGGCTCTAGAAGTCCTGTCGGATGTTCTCCTTGTTTTCGTCCCCCTGCTGTTGCCTGAGCTGAGTTATTTCGTTCTCCAGCTGAACGATGGCCCGCTCGATCTCGTAGTTCTTACTGACCAGAGACACCCAGCTGTTGAGGGACAGATACAGATGTTATGAAGGTGGAAAATCTATGTATAGTGATATGAAGATATAAAATCTTAACACAACGTACTTTGACTCCAGTTCTCGCAGTTTGGCTCCGGCTGCCAACTGATCATTCTTACGCTGCCAGTTTATATCTTGAATTTGCTTCCTGTGCACCAAAAAAAAATAAATGAAATTAGTTAACATGAGAAAACTGATTTAATAACACTTCTGTACAGCGCAAATGATCCAGTGATCAGTCACCTGAATTTCTGAAGTTCCTTTTGAGCCATCTCAATCATGAAGGCCAAGTTACTGATGGAGGAAGACAAGAGAACATGTTAGCCGTCTGTAGACTGTTTATACAGCGAGGAAGTGTGAGAGGTGGGCTGCTGTCACGTACTCATTGTAGACTTTCCATGCGTTGGTTCCGTACTGCGACATGAGCTCTAGGTTCTCAATGCGGACTGCCTGGTGCTCTAGCTGGGCCATCGAGTTGTTCACGCACTCCTGCCACGCTGTAATGTCGTTCTTCTGTCCTGATGAGGGCGCTGGCAGCTCGTATCTCCACAGGAAGAAAAGTTTGGGTGTTACTTAGATTGCTACTGCAACAACAAAAGCATGAACTGCTCACAGACGCCATCAAAGGCCAAAGAATTATTATTAGGTCCCCATAGAGACATGGGGACCTAATAAGCCATCTAAGTATCAACACAGGCTCCTGCAGTGTGTAGGGTTTACCTCTTCATGCTCAGGAGATCCATGGGCTGCCGAGCCGCCAGACGCTCAAATTCATTCCTCATAATTTCGGTCTAAAGGGTGATAAGAAATAAGAAATGCTGTTATTTCTGTCGTGCTGGCTGAAGCTGTGAGGGAGGTTTCGGAGGTCCGAGGAGGTCGTTACCTCAAAAGTGGAGAAGTCGGGGGTGGGTAAGTAGCTCAGGTAGTTCTTGGTGGGTCTGTATCTTCTGGTCTCCTCCTCCACCAACGCTGCAGCCTAGAAGACAAGAGAATTCATTTTTTCCTGCTACCAAGAAATGTACTTTTATCAGTTTTTACTGAAGTTTAAAAATCCACTGGTGGTGATTTTTGGACTGCTCGTTGCAGGTATCAGATTAAACACCAAAACACACATCTTTTGGCATCTGAAGACCGTTTCTCCTTAATGGTTGAAGGTTCACTCAGTTTCACGTCATCTTTAAATGGACAAAGAAACCAACTCTTTCTGCACACGTAATTTCTCATGCCCGACAACCTGATTCCAGTTTCTACGGTGTTGAAATATTCCACTGTGATAGCCAAGAGGAAGTAACAGTCTACAGTCTATTTACCCAATGAAACAAAAAACTCATAGCTGATGACAGATTATCTTGAGTTCACAAATATCTTCTGTTTATATTTCATGTCTTGTGTATGTAGGGTTGCACCTGTAGGCTATTAACATGACAGATTGATGATGCGGGTGAAACAATTGATCCTGCAGGTGAAATGTAACGCTTTCTGTGTGAACACATATCATGAAGTACAAAAGTAGACTCTATACAGAATAAAAGGCAGTCCAAACGGTGGTACCTCAGGCCCAGACTGAGGAGATCACCGAGGGTGTTTCCATGCCCATCCAGCAAAATCTTTATTTCATGTTGTAATGAATACTGCATTATGTTTCTTTATGCATGCTGCTTTTACTGATGCTGTTTAATGCTGGAGATGTCTATTCAGGGGATCAGGTGTGAGCCAGGTCATTAACCTCTGAATGAGCAACTGTTCTTCGGAGCCAAAGAAAGTAGTGACAAGATCAAATGCGAGGGAAGATGATGCAAGAAGGAGCATTGTGTGCATCATATTCAACTTCCACTTGCACTGTTTTCACTTGGTATTTAAACACTGGCAACATATTGCAACCTGTCAATTCTGACAATAGTTTTCAGATTGGAATGCAATCACATCTGACCAACAGATGCGTGCAAACCAGCAATGCACACACACTTACATTTTTTGGTGCACACACGTACATTAATCAACGCTGACATGCTAATATTTGCATATTCGCATACTGTCAATGTTTTTATTTCACCCACCACATCAGCCAAACCCGTCTGTCATGATCAAACACAGGCGTAACTTGTACCATTAATAAACGGTGGATTATATTAGGATTGACGATGCCAGCTCCCTGGTCTTACAAACACTGTGTAATCACTAATGCTTCTAGTCACACCTGTGCTTTTTCTACTATTCCATGTCAAAATTCACTATCTACTCTGAGAAATGAATGCAGGGCTGCATAAAGCTAACGCATAGGGGGGTGCTATAGTATCCACAGTCACATTCTGAAAAATATTTTAATGGTTTTTCATGTGATAGGAAGTATCGACTGAAGGGGGGCCAATTGAGAAGGCGACATTTTTTACAGCAGACCATTTAAAATGATTTAGTAGGAAAAACACATGAATTATGGCTGCACTCTACAGCCAAGGCTCTGGTGTTGTACATGCTGGCTCAGTGACACATGATTGTACAAAAGCACATTGCATTTAATCTCGTAATGAGAGATCCATACATCATAATTGTGAGATCCTGCTTTTTTAATAATGAGAGAATATTCTCCTAATTATGAAATACAGATCTCGAAGAGCTAAACATGCTTATCAATTCTATTTGAGAAGTCGGAACCATAAATGACATTACACTGTGACACTACTACTCTGTCACTACTAATTAATCTGTATTTCTTTCTTTGAGGATTTTAAAAGACAGAATCATTAATCTTCTAAAAAGTCTTTGGCGTTCCAATGTGTGCCGACAGCAGCGGTTAGCAGATAAACTCAGACCCAGGGTGTTTCTATAGCAACATGAGTCAAAGAAACAGAGAGACTTATAGACTTACAATCAGTGTATTCAAAGCACGTAGGAGAAAGATACAGATCGTCACAGGATGCAAAAGTCATAATTGCAAGATAGGAGTTGCATGTTTCCCCCTCTTCGATGAATGCAATGGACAAATTAAACAGAGCCATCATTAATGTTATTAATCACTTCCATGCTGTTCGTGACAAGTAAGGACGCGTGCTGGGAAAAAGATATGTTCGCAACATTGGTGAGGAATGGCTCTTAGCAGAACCCAAATACACTGTATCTTAATTTGGTTAACCAACCAGGTAAAGTGGCCCTATTTATCAGAATCAGATCATTGAAAGGTCCAGTGTGTAACATTTAGGAGGTGCTAGGGTGCCTCCCTGGAAGAAATGAGATCTAGATGTTCTAGGGGATGTTTTTCATCAATTGTGTTTTTGATGTCTTTGTTTTGAATGAGGTCCGTTTTCATGTGAAAGCAGGTGGGCTTCTAATGAGGCCCCAAAACCCATCGGAGCACGCCAACCAAAACATCCAATAAGAAAGAGAACGCAATGAGAGAGCATCACACAGGTAAAAACGAATACAAGATCGCGGGGACGTTAAAGGAGCATCAGCGAATATTATATTGTGTTAATAATGTAAATGAATGAAGTTCTCTTCAAAACAACATCTTAAGATTTGAGTGGAACATGTTGTTCTTAGCTGCTGTTGTTATGAACGCAACTTAAGAAGGTCTCA